ACCGGTGACCGGCGTTAGCGGAGGATTTACCTTCAACAGTTTTTTATTGGCAGTCAAAGTCTTAAAATTAAAAATATCTCAAATATGGTCGTAGCCAAAAATAACAAATTTTTTAACCCCCTATAGACAGGGAATGCCCTGTAAAGGCTTGGCTGGAGTGGAGTCGGCCCACTTACATATAAAGCCGATTATGTGGATAGCAATTAATAATGGAGAGACTATGTGTACTCTAAAGGCCCAAATTCCAATAGGTATCTTAAAAAATAATCCTGGCTGTGCCCGTGCTATCCATGGATGTCAGACACGTCGGTATACTGTGTTCGCTACATGTATCCCCATTAGGTAATCAACCTCTTCATGCATCATCCGTTACAGTTAGGTAGGATATCTACTTTTAGTATATTAGATTCCGGCCGTGCTAACTTCAGTCGCAATGATTTTCGGTACAGGGCACGCTTGTGAAGTACAAAAATCATATTTATAGGATATGAATCAATTACCTAAATATATTTCTAGTTCCACAGATTGCAGTCAGACTTAGGGCCGAGTTTTCAATCATCAGTTAATTATTAACTGTAATATAAAATTGACAGTTGACAGTTTTTAGTATGGAAGAATTGTCAAATACTTAGTTATTCCTTAGGTAAAATTTATCCGAGCATTGAAAAATTGGCTCTTAAGTACTTAGTTAACTAAGACTGTAATGTTAATTTCGGGAATCCCTGGACTATAATTTGGGGAAAATTGTAAGGGACCCCCAAGAACACAGAGTACCTACATAACTCGCCAATTTTTTTACCGCCTTTATTAGTCCGCCGTGTGCTCCCTTTTACCGGTATAAGTTGACTTTTTTCTAATTCGACCTTTGACACCTTAAAACCTGCCCCTTTGGTCTAATTGGAGGCAAATGAGAGTGGTAATCATGGGTTTATGAGTTGGTTTTCTAGATCATTATAATTACCTACATTACAATTGGAGTTCCTAACTTCCAAAAAAATAATGGAATGCTACCTAAGTATTTGCTACGAAAAATCAAATGTTTGTTTAATTTTATGTAACACCTATTGTTCACATGATATATTGCAATAAAAATTTCAATTTGCATTTAAAAAATACTAATTAAATAATAAGCAATGCCATCCAACGTGGCAATGCTGCCAGTCTTCTGGGCACGTTCCCCACGTTCTTTGACGCCAAAGTGACATAATTTCGTTTTTTCTTTTATCTTTTTTTTACTCGCTGTTTAATTTTAGTTAATTTTAAGTTGTCTATATTTATGATAGAATTAAGCGGTGATAGGCCAGTAGGCATTTAAGCTTAGCACCGTAAACAATAGCGAATAGGTAGACGGACAATGTAATTTTACCATTTAATATAAAACTATTTAATTAAAATAGATAGAGATGTCTGATAGATATAAATACAGTTGAAGATATAGGTCAGGGGCACACTATAGGAGAGGCTGATCCAGCAGTGGATGGATATGGATGGAGACAGACTGATGATGACGTGTCAATAATTTCCGTATCCATATTACTAATATGATAACCTCTCAAATTCATCAGAAAATGTTACCAAGCAAGCATTATAATGTTTGTAAAAACCGAGGCTACTTGACTGACTGATAATTATGATAAAAACTTCGCGGAATCCACTGACATGTGTGCCGACACCCGCTGGCATGCGATTGCATAAACATAACGGGAAATATTTCGATCTATCGACTATCGCTAGTTGACTAACAGACTATAATAACTAGTGTCCTTTGCTCGAACCTTCTCCGTGCGAGAAGAGGCTATGGTCAGCAGTGGCCACTTATGGGCTGGTGATGATGATAACTGTCCTTTACAACGTGGTCCTTTGATGCAATGAGGACCAAAAGGACCAACTTTTAGATTTCAATTTTACGTTGATCTCAAATATGTTTGCACAGCAATTGTAAGTAAATGGACTGAATCTAAGTACTGATGGTCCCCTTAGAATACTTATTCAGGAAGAAAAAGAAATTAAATAGTTTAAGAGAATATAATAATAAAAAAAATTATCATAGCCATCGTCGCCCTTTCTGTCGACAGAATAATAGGCGAAATTTTTAAAATACTTCTAAAGCCATATTTAAACTGACATTCACGATATCAAAATAATCCTAAATTCCTAATAAATGGAAATGGCAAAAATATATTTTTTAATTACATCATCGATCGATCCCCACGAATGTCTTTACGTCACTCAATGACAATCTGAACCATGACGTCATCACACTTGTAGAACCTTATTTACATAATGATGTGGGTCAATCGTATCTACGTAGCCAGAAGCGTCAGATGAGACCTTATACAATGTTATTTTCATTCATAATAACCTAATTACATGCAAATTTATACTAATTACTTTATTACGTACTAGCTATCACCCGCGGCTTCGCTCGCGTCACAAAAGGATATAAGTAGCCTATGTGACATATACCAATACACACAGCGCCATCTATGCCAATTCTTTTGTTTTCCATCAAATATCAAAATTTTCCGGGATAAAAAGTACCATTTTATTTATTCCGGACTTCTAACTTTACGTCTGCAAAAATTCAAAGCGATCGGTTTAGTACGGCGTGAAAGTGGAACAAACAAACAAACAAACTCACTTTCCCATTTATAATAGTATAAGGATGTCTTATTCCTGAATCAAGGGATCTTAGTCTAACTGCTTCGTTGGCGAAGTGGTCGCAAGTGCTACAGCCTAGCAATGGATCTCGGGTTTGATTCCTTGATTGGGCAAAGTATTAGTTTTATAAAAATTCTCAGTAGTGGCACGGAGTTGGGAATTGTGTCCGGTATATGGCAATAGGCTCTACATGGGATTCATAACATAAATAGTGATCATATTACCTTCCTTTTAGCTTCGCTGTAGTCGGGTAAAAACTGAGTGTCACCTTGCACAGTGGCATTAAGTGCCGTTATATGCACCTCTGCTTACACCTTCGGAGATAAAAGTGATGTGATGTCCTTTGTCCGCTGTTCGGTCACGGGATATTTAGTCCTTTGGTCCTGTATTATGTTTAACTACTATTAGGTACCTACTCTTAACACGTTTGCTTTTGACAAAGAGAAGACATGCAACTCGTTTTTCGTTAGGGGAAGAAATTATTAAGTGACTCCATGGACTCTCCATTAGTCAGGAGTAATCCTGAGCCGGATCTCCGATAACTTATTGCGTTTTATTCGCAGCCCTGGAGACATGTGTCGATTCGAGTGCTAATTAAGTAGAAATATGGACTTATTTTTTTATAATACGTAGTACATACCTGGATTTTACCCATAGAACCTAATTACCCAACATTTACCTACCGTTTAAAAAAATTATTGTTTGAATGACGATGCTAAGTCAATGCACCTCGTGTTCGCTCGCGACTGTCTCCATGAGGCTAAAGAGCGTGAAGATACGAATGATAAAATTAATTCAACGTTCAATAAAAACTTTCTGTTACCAGGTAAAATCTTATATTATATATAACTGCAAATGAATTAGGAAATGCCAAAGTTCATTCGTGTAATGATATTTTCCTGGATTTTTTACCAATCGATAATCCTGTTTATTGAATATACTTAGGGTTGGTAAATGATAAACTTATGCTCGAATAACTAAAGGCTACTTAATTTGTACTTACTTAAATATGTTTTTTTTATGGCATAAGCCGGCAAACGAGCAGACGGATCACCTGATGGTAAGCAATCGGCGTCGCCCATGGACACCTGGAACACCAGAGGCGTTACAAGTGCGTTACCGGCTTTTTGGGGATTAGGAGTTTGAGGATCGTTGGGAATTCATTGGGGAGATTGGGGAAGGCGAGGGTAATTGGGCCTCCGGTAACCTCACCCACACGACGAAATACAACGCAAGCGTTGCTTCACGTCGGTTTTCTGTGAGGCCGTGGTATCACTTCGGTCGAGCCGGCCCATTCGTGCCGAAGCATGGCTCTCCCAGTTTGTTTTCGGCTTACTCACGTAATTATTTGACGAGGAACTCTATTAGTTTCAAGCCATGCTAGAGGCTCATATTCACGAGCATTTCGCGACCCGCGACGCGGCGACTGTCGCGCTGCTACTGGCTAATCGAGTCTGCGGGCCCAGCGCGCCCTCTGCCGTGATTCACGCGCACTTTCCTCCACTCATGGTATCGACGAAAACATAATAATATATATATTTAGTATGTCTCACGAAAGTTATAATACAATACTTAAATATCGTGCCATCTCTATGATTTTACAAAGAATTTGTAGAGACAGAACTATACCTACTTAAGCGCGACTTCAAATTGAGGAGGTTTCCTCCTAGCGCTCCCGTTTTGAAGCGCTCCCATCTAAGCGCTCCCGTTTTGTTCCTCCAAGCGCTCTCAAAAGGAGCGCTTCGAGGAACGATTAAAATATTAAAATTTATTTCCTCGAAGCGCTCCCATGATTAACTTTCGGATAGAGATGGGACTATACTAATTGAAATTATCGATGATAACTAGGTAACAAGTAGAACACATTGTTATAATATACAACTAGCGGCCCGTCCCGGCTTTGCACGGGTTTGGTCATTTTTTTTTTGTTTTATTGTAAAATAACTAAAAGATTTATAATAAAACAAAAAAAAATGGTAACAAATTTCCTTTGCCATACATATTTGACCTGTATTTGGAGACAGTAAAATATTTCAGACATAATTTACACCCATATCGCCTACGCCTTACTCCCACCCAGGTGGTCCCTTATGAAGACAATAACACGTATAATACGTATACCTGACAAAAATTCTAAAGACTTAGATTTCAGGAAAACTTCCAATGACGCCTAAGTAGAAAATCCCACAAACCAATAAATAATCTTCAATAAAAAATCCTTGGAAAATAATACATTTAATATCTGCATTAACCGTGTTAGTAATCCCATAGTCGCGTGCGCATCACTCCCTCCTATAGAGCGAGATATAAGCGACCTGCGCTTGCGCACGATCAGTGTAACAGTGACCACCTGTCAGAATGGAGTCTCGAGTGATTTTTGTTTATCTGTTTGTTACAGTCGTCGTCTGCGGAGTGCAAGGTATGTGCGAATTTTTTTTTTTTATATTTAAAGTAGTTTAAAATAGGGTCTTGTGAAAGGACTTATCTTATTTAAGAGTAGTTTTACATATTATATAGTTAAGCCTCGTATGTTAAAAGTATATAAACAATTTTATAATGTTAGTTTTATTAAAACCATCTAGTTTGTCAAGTGGTCTTTAGATCCGTAAGTCGTTTAAGGCTTACTCCTTTGCATTAATGATTTAAATAACATTAGCAGACCCAAAAAGACACCTACTAATGTGTCTCTCTGCATCACGCTAAGGTTGACTGTTAGAGAATGCCACTTTACATTAAGTCCGCCATTGTATACCCATTTTGCAAGAAGTGTAAATAAATAAATAAATAAAAAAGGGACAACTTATGTATGTGGAATATCACATAACCCTTTTATAAACGACCTTTTTAAAAAAACACCGCGAGAACACCGCAACCTATTGTTCTTTAAACTGTCAAACACCAAGCGGTCACCGGTGACCGCAACCTATTGTTCTATAATTGTGTCTACAAAGACGGTACTCGACGAGTTAATGGTGTCTATAATGACGGTACTAAAAGAGTAAAGGCGGTTAATTAATAAACTAAAACCTTATCTTAAGTGTAACAAACACTTTTCTGAAAACCGCATCAAAATCGGTTCAGCCAATCGTGAGATGATACGCACAAACATTCATACATACATACATACATCCAGGTCCAACAGAACCTCCTTCGTTATTCGAAGTGGGATAAAAAGTATAATGTTCAAGAGATAATCTTCTTCATTATTAATAATGATTTTCTGGATCGATTCTTAGTGTTGTCAATATTACATTGCCTATATAAGTTTTTAACACAGTATTGTTAAAAATGCTCTGCCTCGTTGGCCGAGTGGTCGCAAGTGCGACTGCCGGGCAAGGGGTCTCGGGTTCGATTCCCGGGTCGGGCAAAGTATTACTGGGTTTTTAAAAAATCCTCAGTAGTAGCACGGAGTCTGGAAATGTGCCCGGTATATAGCAATAGGCTCACCCCCTATTACATAACATAAATAGTGAAAAGTGGGTGTTACTTCTGTGAGCACCTCTGCCTACCCCTTCGGGGATAAAAGGCGTGATGTTATGTTATTGTTAAAAATCTTGGTCTTCATAGTGTTAAACAAGAAAGTTTATCAATATACTTAAATATTGTACTCTTAAGATGCTGAAACTTATAACATAGACAGACTACATAGTAAGAACACGGAACATCACTATTAGATAATTATAGGCCTCCTCTACATAACGTTATCGTTATCATAACTAGGATCCCCATCCCAACGCTTGGCTTGGGTTAAAGACTCCAAGTTTATCAGAAAGCGCTGTTGCCAACCTGCTCTCTTGTCTCTGTCAAGTGACTGTGTCTCTTAGTCAGCTCTTGACTGTGTCCCTTAGAGAACCACGGGGAATCTAGGGGTGGGGACAATTTGTTTTAAATTGAGATTGATCTCGCCACACCCTTGCAAAACCGCTGAATCTTCTGTATCTGCAATAGATACAAGAAAAAAACACCGAAACATTGAAGTCTGTAGCGTCTTAGGGACTATTATTTATTAATCTGTTGGCTGAGCAATTGATTACATGGTTGGTGCGGTGGCTGTGCAACTGGATGCCTCACAACGTGTCGTGGGTTCAATTCCCGCACGGAACAGAGTTGTGTGATCCATGTTGTTCCGAGTCTGGGTGTCATTTGTATGTGAACTTGTATGTTTGTAAACGCTACCACGATACAGGAGAAAATCCAAGTGTGGGGCGAAGTTATTTTTTTTTAATTTACAAAGTATGTATTTGATAAAAAATCGGACATAATATCGAGGGGTAACGGACTATTTGGTTTAAGCGACATTTTGGACATGATATCTGATACAATCTCTGGATACGCAGAAATACCAAAACAAATTCTCAGATCCGGCATCAATTTTTAAACCTTTATCTTGTCATAATCTTGAAGTCTCTTACAAATTTAAATTCAAACACTTCATAATATAAAGTTAGTCTTATAAATCACGAATCGTGATTGTTACTAATAATAATATATGTTGTTCATTCTAAGCTTTAAACTATTTAGATATTATCATATGGCTGTTATTGCGTTTAATACCTAGTTTATTGTTTATTACTATACGTACCAATGGAATAGTACCATTGTAATTTATAACAAATATGGTAATAAGACTAAGTAATATCGATTGGTCCTTTGTAATTATTGTATAGTTTATGAATCTGAGAGTTCTCTATCTCTATGTGAGCATCGTAATATTTACCTGACTCCTAAATCCTCCTAAAGAAAGAGACAGACCTCTGAGTTTGTTTCGGCATTTCTTCTCAGTTAGGAAATGTCGGCCTCATCGTTCGCTTGATAAAATTGACATGTAAAAGTGCTGCCTTGTAGCCTATTTGTAAAAATAAATTCACTTGTTTCACTTGGTTCACTCTATCATCATATCCACAGCACTTACTTTTAATCGTAATATTGAATTCTTTTTAAGTCACATAATCCCCGGATCCTTTTTAACCAGGACCATTTGAAAAGTTTAAAACATACAGGTAAAACAAAGAACCTCATTCATTTTTTGGAAATCTGTTAAAAATTTGACGTAGTATCATATGACATCTGATACGATTTTTGGAATCTTTCACATTAGGTAACGCACGGATCCTTTTTAGGGATCATTAGAAGAGTTGAAACCTGAAAGAAAGCTTTTGTAAAAGATTCCATAATTTTTTATAACGATATTATAGGTTAAGGAGACCTCTAGGCAAAAATCAGACGTTAAATATATGATACATAACATAACATCACGCCTTTTATCCCGGAAGGGGGAGGTAGAAGTGCACATTATACCACTATACAATATAACACCCATTTTTCACTATTTATCTTATGAGTCCCATGTAATAGGGGGTGAGCCTATATATACCGGGCACAATTCCAGGCTCCGTGCTACTACTGAGTATAGTTTTGAAACCGTGACATTTCTCGGGGGCATGTCACAGAAGTCATAAAAGTTCAATGTAAGAGAAAATTTCGGGCCAATAGTTAAAAATACGGCTATACCTCTAATAAATCGTTTGAGTTTGACAGTATTTCAGATTAGGCGACAGCAATGTTTCTTATTGGAGTTTTATGGAATTAGGAATAATATCAATTACGTGTTTGAGTTTGTGTGTGTTGAGCCGCGTTATAAAGCTAGTTACAAGACAAGATTTTCGTAATTGACAGAAAAATAAAAAATATTTACCTACAATTTTCTTTATTGATTCGGACTCAGAATTGATGACCGAGTTACCCTTAGTCCTAGAAAATGACGAGGCTTTAAAACAACACCTTGTAGATGATAAGTTTGCGTATACCGTGAGTTATAATATGAATATTAAGTATTAGTTAATACACATAAATACATTATGTATTGTACATATTGTTCAAGATACAATCGAAGGTTACAACCGAAGATATGATCTTATTACAATGTTATGACAACATATACCATAACAAATACAACATACAATTGCCTTGTTGTAAAGTCAATTGTCTTAGATATTCACTGGACTCTTGTAAGTCGACATAATGTGATAAAATCCGTGGCCTCATCTCCGTGTACTATTACTAGCGATCCGCCCCGGCTTCGCACGGGTGCAATATGCATGTGTTATACATATAAACCTTCCTTAAGAATCACTCTATCTATTAAAAGAAACTGTATCCGTTGCGTAGTTTTAAAGATCTAAGCATACATAGGGACAGACAGACGGCGGATAGCGTCTTTGTTTTATACTATGTAGTGATATAAAGTATTCCAGGCCATAGTCTAACTCTGTCCCAAATTTCATCCTAATACCTTCAGCTGTTTTAACGGGACTGAGCAATGAACGTCACAAATCTCAGATTACGTTCATTTTAAAGGCCAGCCATAGATCAGAAACAAATCCATTATCTATCTCAATAACTGTGTCGCGGAGAACATAACGGGTTACCGGGACTCCGGCTCGAAGCGCAGGAGAAAGAACGGGGTGGTTTTTAGTTTTTAGTCAGTAAGAGTCTGACACTCCCTCCCGCCTCACCCAGGCGGGAGCAGTCATTCGATGATTTTTTCCCCGTTAAAAAAAAACCCAATAACTGTATCTATTTAGGCCCTATTTTTCAATATCTAAATGGAGGACTGAGGAGGATGCCTTTGTCCAGCAGTGAACGTCTTTCAGCTGTTGATGAAGATGATGATGATCTCAATATCTTACCAAGTTTCTATCTTAGTCTGACGAATATATTAAAGTTAAAGTCAAAATCAGTTATTTCAATTAGACCAGAAAGGCACTTTCGAACGTCAGAATAAAAAATTAAAGTGTATCTAGCTCATTCCAATGTGTAGATTCCTATGGAGAAGAAAGAAAGCAAGAAACTCCATAGGCTACTCTTTTTCAATCAGGTTCACAATACAATTCTCTAGTTACATACATAGTTTTGTTGTTTGGATTGTGCGAGAACAATGTAAAACGTAGGGACCTAATTATTATCGTTTATACGAATTGGGGTTAACTTGATCACCCAATAAATGTAGGTAAAGTCTTTTTGTCTAATCACAGCAGCTGTCAAATGTTGAACATCCAATGGTGTAAGGTAATTCCCTATTGGACGAAGAACGAGAAGGTCACACTAGCGCCGCCTGCTGAGCAAAAATACGATAGGTCCCCAGTGTGTCAAGGTTAATCTTTCACATTTATAATATCACTTAGTAAGATTGTAAGATTTGGTTTTTCCAGTCCACTCTTAATACTCTGTTGAAGGTTTCGTCACATAGGACAAACCCAGCTGTTTAATTCAACCTTTTATGCATCTCAAATGTTATCACAACGCAATGTGGCTCTTATATTTCTTAGAGAATGTACTTGAAACATTGAATTAAGTTATAAGTCAAGTTTATTGCAGTCTAAATCTTCACTGAACCAATTTAAATCATTCATTCACGTA